AAGTTGGCCAACTTCATCCCCTGGGGCCCAGCCAGCATCCAGGTGGCCCTGTCAAGGAAGTCTCCCTACCTGCCCTCAGCGCATCGAGTCAGTGGGCTCATGATGGCCAACCACACTAGTATCTCCTCGGTGAGTCTAGTCACCTGGTCTTCTCTGGCCACTCTGTTGGGCTGCCTGCCTTCATCTTTTTCCCCTAGTCCATTCCTAACCCGTGTCCTACACTGGCTCCCATTTTGGAGATTTTTACCTCTTTCAGCTCTTTGAACGTTCCTGCCAGCAGTTTGACAAGCTGAGGAAGCGGGATGCCTTCCTAGAGCAGTTTCGCAAGGAGGACATATTCAAGGACAACTTTGATGAGATGGACAGGTCCAGAGAAGTTGTACAGGAGCTCATAGATGAATACCATGCTGCCACACAGCCAGACTACATCTCCTGGGGCACCCAGGAGCAGTGATTTCCTCTCCCAACTCTCTTGGACAAAAGGCACACCCCTTCACTGTGCTTGGTTCCTCTGGCCCAACTTAACGTTACTGACAACCTTTCTGGTCCATCTTCAGTCCATAAACTGGTCCTACTTCTTTTCCATGCCCTAACTCTTGATATGCTTGTATAATAATAAAGTAATAAAGCTTGATTATCAGTATAGTCAGGGCTTGATCTGTAAGTATAAGGATGGTGAAAGCACCTCCAATTTCTAGGCATGTGATAGCAGGGTGGCCTTCACCTCCTCTAATATAGGCCACCCTGCTATCACATGGTGATATCCAGTCCACTGTTTCCACTAGCATTCCTCACCTTGAGCCTGGCTGTTTAGTTGGAGTCAGCTCTTCTGTTAAGTTCACAGAAATTTCCTGAAATCTGCTGTCTGCTTAGTGCCTAAGCTCTAGCCCCAGTGTGGACCACATTGCCTCAGCCCCCTCCACTCAGGACAGACAAGGTAGAGTCTGCCAAAGGAGGGCCGACTGCATCTAGCAGGTAAGGACAGCTGGGACTCTGAATTCCCAGTGCCCAGGGCCATCAGAATCCCAGGAGCTCGGCTCAGCGCCTGTGGCTCAAGCGGCTAAGGCGCCAGCCACATACACCTAAGGTGGCGGGTTCGAATCCCCAGCCCGGGCCCGCCAAACAACAATGATGGCTGCAACCAAAAAATGGCCGGGCGCTGTGGCAGGCGCCTGTGGTCCCAGCTACTTGGGAGGCTGAGGCAGGAGACTCGCTTGAGCCCAGGAGTTGGAGGTTGCTGTGAGCTGTAATGCCATGGCACTCTACCCAGGGGGGTAGCTAGAGGCTCCGTCTCAAAAAAAAAAAAAAAAAAAAAGAATCCCAGGAGCTCAACCCAATTCAACCCAACTTAATGTTCAGGGACAGAATTCAGGAGTAGGGCTTGAACCCATCCTGAATTCTCTTTCTGTGCCAGAAGATTCCTTGGGTCTGTTATCTGCCCTATGCTTCTCTCTGTTCTAGGCCCAAAGCCAAAGGCACCAATGATGGACCCAACCAGGGCCCAGAGCTGGACATCAAGGTAATGCCAGTCCTTGATGACTCACTGCCTTCCAGCCTCAGTGATGCCAGGAGGCTTACTCCACTCAATGGAGAAGGGAGTGTAATTGCCAGCTTCAGATATTGCCTTCTTGCTGGCTCTACTCACAACCCTGTGGCAGCTTACTAGCCAGGAAGAGGTTAAATCTAGACGGTCAAGGAGGGTGGAGTTCTGTGGTGTCCAGACTCTCCCTGGCTGGTAAAAGCCCAGAGTGTGGGTGTCCCCAGGGGCGGACCTCAGAACCATGGGGCTCCAACTTGTTCTACTGACAACACTCACACAGGAAGGGTTTGTGTAAATAAGGATTTTTTTTTTTTTTGCTTCACTTCTACAAATAAATTAAGAAACAAACTAGAAAATTGTCCACACCCACTGCAGCCATTGAGTGTGGGGTGTGCCCTGTCCCTGCAGGGCCAAAAGGGTCCATGTTTCCCTCAAATCTCAGAGGGGTCCTGGCCCAGGCTAGAGGCAAGAGGGAAGTCGTGACCTCTTGGCAGGCTCAGTCCTGCAGCTGCCCCAAGCAGCCAGACTGTCCCTGGGTCTCATCCAGGCCCGGGTGCTGGCTGGGAGGGGAGACGTCTGGCAGGTCTTGGCATGGAGAAGGGCTGCTGCAGGGCCTCTCGGGGGAGGGGTTGGCCAAGTAGGCATTCACCAGCTGCATGATCTCTTCCACCTAAGAGAGGGCAGAGGTCAGTGTGAAACATGGGCCATTGGGATCTTATTTTCTCATCCTCCATCCAGGCTTTAGAGCTCCAATTTCCCTACCAGGATCCTAGTTCCTCCAACCTTTCCTTCCTCACCACCACTCTCTCCCTCACTCCCTATGTGCCAGTCATATTTGCTTCTTTCTGCTCTTCTAACATGCCACTTTCATGTCCGGGCCTTTGCCTTGCAATTCCCCCTACCTGGAAGACTGTCCCCCTAGATCTTCCTATGGCTACTTTAAATTTCACCCTCTTTGAGACTACTTCTCTGACTATCTAATGCTATGGCCCCTTTTGTTACTTCTTGCCACTTTCCTTGTGGCCTTTGATTCCTTGTTAATTGTCTGACTCCCCACATCTAATGTAAGCTCCTTGAACTGTCTTTGATAACTGCTGGATTCCCAGTGCCTAGAGCTGTACATCGCCCAGGCATGGTGTTCAACAAATGTTTCATCTCATCCCTTCCCTCCCCTCCTCCTTCCACAGCCCGTTCCTTCCCTCCCCCTTCCATAACCCCTCTTTCCACTCACCTGGGGACTCCGCAGGAGGAGTTGACTCTCTCCCACCCTCAGCGCCAGGGTGTGAGGGTCCATTAGCTGGCAGGCGGCCACATGGCCATAGCTGACACTGTGGATGGGCTCTGTCTCACCAGGCCGGGAGAGGGACATGGCCTTGGCTCCCAGGCCCAGGCATAGTTTCTGAGGAGTACCCCCACCAGGCTCCTGCAGAAAGAGACAGAGTGAGGGTGAAAGGTGGAGATCCTGCAGCATTATTTTTGGTAGGGGGAGATGGCAGTGAGCCAGGTAGCAGGGAGTTTCCTGACAAACAACCCCCCACCAATGAGTCATAGCGCGAGTGGAGGTGGCTATGGCTCCAGGGATGTGAGGGCCCAAGACTGGTGACTCCTGGAATTTGAAATGGTGGCTGTTCTAGATATAGGGAATGAAGTGACCCGCAGTGGGGGCCTGTGTCTCTGGGGCAAAAGTGTGGGGCTTGGGCCACCAGAGTCCCCTTCTCCCTTCTCCCCCTCACCGTGCTCAGCTCCAGAACGTCATACCGAGCAGCGCCGAACCCCGGACACTGCGCCGCCAGGGCCAGGTAGGCAGCCATGGCCTCAGCTCGGCCCATGCCCCGTAGCCGTTTCCAGCCGCCCAGCACAGCAGCCGCCGTGCCGGCGCCACCTCCTCCCTCGCGGGCCGTGCTTCCCGCCGTGCGGCCGGTCCTGCCGCGACGGCCCGGCTCAGCCCGCCTCTTGGCCAGGCCCGGGCTCCAGAGTGCCCCGGCCAGCAGGGCGGCGGAGGGGGCCGGCCTGGGGGCCGGACGGTGCGCGTCTTCCTGCGGTGGGGCGGGGGGCGGCAGCAGGCGGTCCAAGCTGGGCAAGGGCACTCGCGGGGAGAAGTCCCGGTGCAGGCTCTGCAGGCGCAGCGCTGCCAGGGCACTCAACGTGTCGTCGGGCGGGGGCGGTCGGCCCCGCAGCAGCAGAGCATGAGCCTACAGGGGAGGCGTAGGGTTAGTGCGGGAGCCGGAGCTTTGCCGTAGCGAAAACACCTTGAGGTTTGGAACGTGAGGAGATGTCTAGATTCGAGTAAAGCCTCGGTGGGGTCGCCTAATGATCAAATGAGATGGCCCAGAAAAGGAGAGATTTAGGCTTGGGGTTGAAGGCGTGAACGCCGGAGGTCCTCACCTGCTCGAAGAGGAAAGGCAATTCGTGACCGTCTGGGGACAGCCCCTCAGGGTGCAGAGGTCCATGAAGACGCAGGCACAGTCTCCACCCAGAGTCTGGAGAGTCCTCTAGCCCAGCTTCTTGCACAGCCAAACTGCAGAAGAGAAAAGGGCGCGACGCAATGTAGAAGCTAGGTAGCCACAAGCCCACAGTTTGAGATGGGGCGGGGCCATGGGTTGGGGGCGGGGTCTGGGCGGAAGGCGCTGCGAAAGTGTCCCCAGATTGTAAATGCAAACCGCCCGCGGGCAGGGGTCCATCTGTAAACGACAGAAAGTCACAAGTGGCAAGAGCTCGATAAACGTTTCTTAGTGATCGACTGACGCTGAGAAGTAGGTGGGTTAATAGAGAGTAGGGCTGGGGCTGGACATTTACTTCTCAAACCTGGTGAGCACGTCAGCCACGAGGGTACCCCCAGCCAGGGCTCTCTCCTGGACCCCTCGCTGCTCATACAGTGCGAAAGTGTTGCGGCTCCGCGCCAAGCCCAGCCGTCCCACCAGTTCTCGAGCCACCTACATGGGGGGGGGCGGGGAGAGAGGGAATCAGACCACCCAGGGGTATTGGCAGGATTCTGGGAGGGGCTGATCCACCTGGAAGGAGTCTCAGTCCTGTCACCACCACTCCCTGCCTTACCGAAATATGAGACTCCGGGCAAACCTAGGGCCCAGGAGCCGGGAAAGCCAAGCGTAAGAAGCTGGAAAGGGTTCTGGGGGTCCTTTCTGTGTCCTCACCTCCCCCACTGTGGTGTGGGAGTCGATGGCCACAGGGCAGGCACCAGCCCCAGGACAGTGCACGGTGCACAACAGCTCCTGCCGTTGGCTGAGCGCAGAAATCTCTGCCAGAGAGGGCACCAGCTCTCGGCCGCGCGTCCGGCCCAGAGCTTTCCGGATGAAGCGCGCATATTCCGCCAGTTCCGAGTCTGGAAGAGCCTGCTCGGTCCTGAGTTAGGAGGAACCCTGGGATCAGTGCTCCAAGGGCCAGCCTTCTCTCCTCTCCCTCTCACCTTCTATTATAGCTTATCTGGTGAATTTCCTCCTCCACCCCCCCAACTCATGTCTCCATATGGGGCTGAATTACTTTTTAAGCCCTCTGGAAGTTCTCTCCCAGTTGTCCAGCCCTCTTCCAAAACCTCCTGCTGGTTTTTCGCGCTAAAGTCTGAAATCCAGCCACTTTGCTGCGCTTCCAAAACCCTGGCGCTGCCCTACCTCAGCCTGACTCAAAGCAGCCTTTTAATTATTCGTCTGCCCAAAGGGGGGCCTTATTGTAAGTTAGCTGCTTACAAGTGGGATAGGATCTTGTATTTCCCACAAAAGCACTGTGTGTAGTACCAGCAGCCCTGACCTTGGGCGTGTAATCTGGATCTGTGTTCTTCATCTACCAAACTTTTTGCAAAGGCCTGTCATTCTCTCGAAAACCTGTAGCTCCTTTGCCTTGGTTTTACTCCTGCCCCTCCCTCTCACCTCTCCAAATGCCCCAGCAGATGCCCCCGTACGGCTCCCCCAGGCCGGAAGGTGCAGCTCATGCAGGTGAGGAGCTGCCAATACCGCAGAGCAGCAGGGTCTTGAGTAGCTGGGAGCCCTGGAGGCCCTGCGGGCCCCGAGGTCTGCTTAGCCAGCTGCAGGAAGAGTTCGTCCCGGAGTGCAGGCAGGTCCCGGCAGGTTTGGAGCACACCCTGCATCAAGGGCCCGGGGCGCCGCGCCCCCTCCAGTGCCTGCAGGGCCAGAAACAGCCTCACCGCCTCCTCTCGCAAGGGTGCATAGCCTGGACCTGCGGGAGGGTAGGGGTGGAGGGATGGTTTGGAGAAGGGACACAGAGCCCTGGGAGGAAGGTACAAACCAGGGGAAGATCAGAGGGAGTATAAGGGGAGAAGGGATGACACGGAGGGGAGGTATGGGAACGACAGGAAGAGCAAGGGAAAACAATGGTCCCATAGAGCCAAACTCTCAACCCTTGCCTCCCAGGAACTTCCCATCTGCATTCTGCTAAGCCTAGATTTTGAGTTAGTAAGGTAGAGGGACAGAATAAGGGACACAAGTTCAACTCTCTAGATTCCGTAGCTGGATACTGGGGGCTATCACCATGGGCCACAAAAGAATCTGGATTAGAAGTGAGAAAATCAAGGTTCTCCCAGCCCCCCTTAATCCTCTAACTTTAGGACCTAGGCCATTTAGGTTGAAGTATGGCTGAATGAGGCCAACGCATTCTCCCAAAGTCACCACTTACAAAGGTAATATGACATAGTCTCAAAAGTATACTCTTCTATGAAAAAATAAAAGAGGAAGTATAAAAACTCCTGAAGGAAGGCTTGGCGTGGCGCCCTTAGCACAGTGGTTACAGCGTTGGCCGCATACACTGAAGGTGGTGGGTTTGAACCCAGGCTGGGCCAGCTAAACGACTGCAACAACAAAAAAATAGCCCTTCATTGTGGTGGGCACCTGTAGTCCCAGCTACTTGGGAGGCTGAGGCAAGAGAATCACTTAAGCCCAGAAGTTTGAGGTTGCTGTGAGCTGTGACACCACAGCACTCTACGAAGGAGACATAGTGAGACTCTGTCTCAAAATAAATAAATAAATAAAAAGAACAAACAAACAAGATAAAAACCAACTCCTGAAGGAACATCAGTGGTCAAAATAAGACCCATAGAGAAGGTGATCAAGGTTTTACCCTCATCCCTTGAAAAGTGAGGAGCTAGTAGGCCCCTTGAGGACTCTCAGGTCCCTGCCAGTTAAGGGTTTCAAATTCTTACCTCTGATCTACCCCTGTCTCATTCAGGAGATTTGGGGCATAGGCCCACTCACCTGGGGCACTGACTCCATAGGGCAGGGGCAGAAGTGGGGCATACAAGGCTCCAGTGGTGTGCCTCAGAATCGGATTCCGCCGGTAAATGAGGGCCACAGCCTCTGGGTCCCCACAACTCTCCTAGAGACCAGGCAGAGGGTCACCATGATGTAGAAGGGAACTTCCCATAAGTCCAGAAAGCTTTTATGTCCACCACTTTCCTGGTTCTCCGCAGGAGTCTTCTCTCTCACCTGTATGTCCCTGAGCAGTAGCTGGGTGGGGGTCTCCAGTGGAGCCTTGGAGGCGATCACTTCCCGCAGTGCCACCCCCCAGCGTTCTGCCTCTGCCTGGCGAGGGGTGCAGAGGCGAACGCTATGCTTCCGGCCAGACACAGTCACTGACCACAGACCTGGGGGAAGGAGAGGCCGCAGAGGGCAATCAGGGCAGGCTAGGGTCCCTGCCCTTGACCATAGGAGAATCTGTACCCGATCTCACCAGTCTCCTTGGGCCTGCGCTCTGGGCCGGTTACCGAGCACAGGCTGGTAAGCACCAGGCTCCCGAGTCGCCGTGCTCCCTTCCCACTGTTGCTGAACTGGTCCAGGGAGTCCCTCGTAAGCAGGAACCAGGCCCGGCGTGGGGGCAGCCAGGGTCGCGTACTCCCTCCGCGGGGCTCACGGTATAGCCAGCCTGTGGGGAGGGTGGAAGGAGAAGCGGCATCAGCTGGAGGCGACATTATCCCCCGGAGGGTTGGGATTGGGGCCTCCAGGGTGCGTTGAGAGGGTCCCTACCTTTCACAACTACGTCCGGGTCGTCCTCAGGCAGCCCCTTCTCGGGAATAAGGCTCCAGGTTTCCTCCCAACTATGCAGCCTGGGCCGGAGGGGAGGGTTGGACCAGGCTGTGGGGCCTCCACTCCACCTCCAGGGGGCTCTTCAGTAGGGGCTCCCCAGACTGCCAGAACTGGCTCCCAAGCTGGGCACCCTTCCCCCCGGCTGTGGGAACCGCGGGGCCGTTCTGACCTCGCACTAGAAATAGCCCGGACCCCCCCTTTCTCCCTGCGCCCCCGGCCGGACCGCCCCGCGGGACCCCGGCCAAACCACAGCGTCCGGTGCAGGGCCTCTCCCTTATTGCACAACCCCGGGAGGAAAGACAGCGAGGATGGGGGTCTCGGGAAATGGCTGGGGTCGCCAAAGTAACTCACCTGTCAGAGATGGGACCGCTCCTCACAGGCTGAGACAGTGTTACGTCCAGGGGACCCTGGGGAAATAGACAGGCAAACCCTCAGGATCTGAGCCCTCCACCTCTTATGTTCCTTTTCGTCTGCCCTGGGGACAGCACTGCTCTGAGGATTTGGAAGGAGTCAATGAGTGGGGTCGTGATTGAGACACCACAATCCCCCTGGGAGAGGCTCACTTATCCCTCCAGTCTCTATAGAGCAAGCTCTACAGAATAGCAGGAGCAAAGAAGTCAAGGATCACTATCTTTGCTATTCTTTAAAAATACAACCGGGGTGGTGTAGGGTTGAAAGAGCACTGGCCAGGGAGTCAGGAGACCTGGGTTCTAATATCAGCCTCATCACTAACTCACTATGGAAACTTAGGCAAGTCTCCTCCCTTCTCTGAGCCTTAGTTTCCCGGTCTTTGAAACCAGAGAGGTGAATGAAGCCCCTTCTGGTTCTGGCAGGCTCCAACAAAGTCACCCCTTCCTCTTCATTTTCCCTTCATCCACTCTGTCTCCTTGGCCAGGAGAGCCCAGGTGGTGGCCACAAAGGTGAATGAAGGGAAAAGGAATCCTTTCGGTGTGGGGCTTCTCCATGAGCTTCTTAGGTTCTACCATAGACACCTCTGAGACTTAAGGGTTAAACAGAGCCCCTACCTCTTTGCTGGGGCTCAGAAAGGGCAGGCCAGACTGTGGAATGGCACACACTCAGAAGGCAGGTGTAGTTCAAGTTTTGCCCTTCCCCCAATACCCTTCTCCACCCCGCACCCCCAACCTCAATTGTAGACTGGGGTCTGAGAGAGGCCACAAACCCAACCGAGAGGCCAGCTAGGCAGGAGTCATGCCATCCTCATATTGTGCCCAGACTGCTAGAGCTGGGAGAGGAAGGTGGGGGAGGGGGACCAGGGACACCTGTCCCCATGCTCTAAGGAGGGGGTGGAGGTGGAGGGAGGCAATGGCCTGGTTGACAGAGCGACTCTGGCTAAGTTGGCAGCTTGAGGATGTTGGGGTCCTGAGCCTTCCCTAGGTGAGCATTCACCTATTTTCTGGAGAGTCTGTGTATGGGCTCTCAGCCCCACCACCATGGGGGCAGGTACTGACCACCCTTTTAGACTAACTCCCCTAATCGCAGTCTTCTGCTTCTCTCCCTCCCTCTCCCCCTCTATATTTATCCACCCTCCGCCTCCGCCAGGTGCTGGCCAGAGCCCCAGCGGCTCTCAGCCCGCCCCACCCGGGCATGGAGCCACAGGGCCTGCTGGAGACCCCTGGGGAGGGAGATGGGAGCCTGACCCTGGTCACAGCACACAGGAGTCTGGTCGCCAGTGTGCAGGGGCGTGAGGGAGGAGATGCTAGGGGAAGAGGTCTCTCACACCAACTGTGCCTTGGTTTCTCCATGGGTAGGTTCAATAAAACCAGGTAACCATGTGTCCCTCATCATCCCTCAGGGATTTCCCAGGAGCCTCACCCGGGAAGACCAAGAGTTCTGTCTTGAGTGGCAGGGTAACGACGAGGGGTCCTCAAAGAGCCATGGCCCCAAGCTCCCTCTCCGTGGGGTCCCCACTGCAGACCCCAATTCTAGGATGCCTTCACCCCCTGGACCAGGTCCTCGCAGCAGGAGCTCCCGCATTTGGCTCCAGCGCTCACGAATTGGGAGCGCAGGGGACCCAGGCGTTCGAGCTGCCCAGCCGGCCTCACCACATTCCTTGGCGCTGGCGGAGGCGGAAGGAGACGGGATGGGACGCGAGCCCGGCAGGGAAGGGAGAGGCAGGGCCAGGTCGGGCCACGCGTGACGCCTCCCCTGCCTCAGGGCCCCCAGCAGGTGGACAGCGCCCAGCGTGCGGCGCGAGGCCCACAGGCACATCCAGAGTAGGGCTTCAGCTCCTTGAAGTCCCAGGGGCTTTGGCTCCCAGGCAGAAACCTCCCCGACGTCCCCCGTTTGCCAAGCGCGCGGCGTTTTGCTAGTCTGGAGAGGGATCCCGCGTGAGGGCAGGTTATAGTGAGAGGGACTGAGACCAGGCTCCAAACCCCCAGGGACTTACCCTCCCGCCGCCCGCTGGACTCGGGGTTCGTAGCTCAAAGGTCTCCTCGTCCTCGTCCTCCTCCCCGTCCCCGCTAAGCTCTCCGTCCCCGTAGTCCCGATGCAGAAGAGTGAAGCCTCGACGGCAGCAGAGGAGCCACCACAATCCCCCGGGGAGAGGCATCCGGGCGAGGAGCCGGGAGATGGGGGCGCGGGCAGCCGTGGCCAAGCAGCAGGGGGTCGGAGAAACCGGTGCAGCTCCCACTCGAGGAGGGGAAAGATGAGGTGGGAGAAGGAAGAAGGAGAGGGGCACAAGGAGGAGGCAATGTCTGGCGCTGGGGTGCAAGGGGAAGTTAACCAGAGTCTAAGGGGGGCTCAGTGTCTGGGCCCCCCGAAGGGGGAGGCGGAAAATCGTCCAGGGCCGGGGTAAAGGAGGGAGTAATGTCCGGAGCTGGGAAGTAGTGTCCGTCGTAGTGTCCAGCCCTGTGGGGGGCAGTGTCCGGTGCAGTGTCCGAGGTGGGCAGTTGTCCAAGCTCCAGGGAGGGTCGTGTCCGGTACGGCGTCCGGTGGCCGGGGCCCGGGGCGCGCGCGCTGCGCTCCCTGCAGCCCCCGGACTGGCGCGCTGGGGGCGCGAGCACAGAGCTGGGACCCCGCCTCCCCAGCCCCCTCCCTCTCGGAGGCCCCCCCTTCCTCCTTCTTTCTCTCCTCCCTTCTTTACAAGGCAGGGTCCAGGTTTCGTCACAGCTTCTTCTGCCCAATCCCTGTTCCTGGCTCCTGGCGCCGCCACCAATCAAACAACTGAAATCGCGGTGGGTTGCATCATGTGCCCCTGGCTTGGTGACAGCGGGGAGGGACGGGGGAATAGGGAGGGAGAGGACCTTGCGATGTTAGCCACGCCCCAGTCTCTGAGGTCGGACCAGGGGTGCTAGTGACGTCACGGAAGCCCGCCTTCATGCTCTTGTTTTAACTCTTGGCTCACCGACCAACAAATTAAAAATCATCTTGAAAAGGAGTTTTGGAGAAAGGAAGGTACAGGGCTTGGAAAGTCCATCCGCTGCCTTGTGACCCTTATCTCATCTCAGGGTCCCTCAGAAAGAGCCTTAGCTACGGAGAGGATGTCCAGACCTGAGCCGAGCACAGCTCTAGACCAGGTCCTCCACCCCTAGGGTGAAGGAAGCTAGTCCCTCGGACTGAGTCACCTCTTTTTTGAATTGAAGAAGTTGAGGCAGGGACTCCGCCGTGAAGCCACAGACCTGGGCTGGAAATAAAATCGAATTTAGAGTGCACAAGATCACCGAACTCAGGTGGGGATGGTGTCTTGGGATTCTAGGGAATTCTGTGGTCTCGGAATAGAGTAGAGGCTTCTCGGGGAGAATATCCAGCGGTTCTGTATAAGAAGGGGTTAACCTAGGCGCTAGGCGGTCAAGGAGGGGCAGCGCGGATAGCAGACGCGCGCTCGCGAGCGCGCGCGTTGCTGACTCAGCAGCGATTCCCGCGGTCTCTGGTGGAGGCTTCCAGGTCGGCCTCCAGTGGTTGGCGTGCGGGACTCTTAGGGATCGGCGCTGTCTGCGGCCTTCACTGGATCTTGGCCCCTAGAGACTGTGGCTCCCGGTCTCAGTTGCCCACGGCTCTGGGAAGCTCTGCTAGCCTGGACTAGGCGGGGCGGGGCGGCGCTGTCAGGCAGCACCTCCCTTGAGACCTTGTGGCCACGCCCCTCCTTTCCAGCTCCTAGACTCCCCGGCTAGAACGGTGGGGACAAGCTTTGCTGACCGGATATTAAACTGCGAGAATTGTCACATATGAACACTGCCCGTTACAACTGTGTAACACAAAGACCAGGAATCAATGTGACTGTCTCTAGAGACCATCTTGGCTGTGCCCTCTCTCCAGATGACAGTGGCCTGTGCAGAGATTTCCTAGGAAAGGAGACGCCACAACCATATGCTCTCTTCTCCTTCTGTGTTTCCGATCAGCTCAGGGCATTTCCTCTGACCCAGTCCCCTTATTCTTCACCCCCGCCACGCCCATTATAATTACTTTTTGATAATTTGGAAACTGCAATTCCCTCTTTTGTTTTTCCCCAAGGTGAAACACTACAACTCAATTTTTAAAATTACATTTTTTTCTTTCCTTCACAGGACCTTAGAAAGGATTGTAAAGTGGTAATCTAATGAAAACTCCCACCCAATCCGGGAACTCCTGTCCCTACCCCTTCTTATACCTCTACACCACACAAAAATACAGAGAGTCCCCCAAAGTTTGAACATTCCAGAAGCCAGGAACTCGGTACTCGCTAAGGCAGCCATTACTGGATAGCGCTCTGGTTGTTAGAAAGCTCTTCCTTACACTATTTCTAGAGGAACCTCCGCCCCTCCTTGCCTGGCAGATTTCTTGGCAGAGACTGGGTGAAGGTAGAAGGACTGTCAGCGGCTAGAGCTTTAGCAGACTTAGTGCCCCCATCCTCCACTACCCCCACCACCACCACCCCCCCGCCCAGCCCCTCAGCGCATTCCGATCGGAGCTAGTGGGCCAAGTGGGAGGTGGGTTAATCCACTAGCTCTGCCCTGCAACAAATCATTTCCAAGTCGGTGATACAAAAATAGTAACAGTTGGGTTGCATCTTACTTCCATGTTATCAATTTAATGTGGCAAGGCACAGAAGCAATTCCTTTAGGTCCCTACCTTTCTCAGTTTCCCCCGCCCTCACCCCCCATTCTCCTTCTCCACTATCCTCCCGAAATCATTTCCTCACCACGCCCCCTCCTCTAGATTGGCAGCCCTAGTTGTCCCAGGAAAGACTGTGAGTCTCAGTGGGAGCTGAGCAGGAAGAAAGGCGGGGCCGGCGGGGGCAGCCGCCACGGGGATGAGGCCCTGAGCTGCAGCCCCCATCCCGTAGCAGTCTCCGCAGGTCTTGGCGGAAGCGCAGGCCCAGAAAGGCGTAGAGCACGGGATTGAGGCCGCAGCGGGCTAGGGCCAAGCCGCTGGTCACCAGCAGTGCCAGATCCTTGCGCTTGCTGGCAGGGCAGCTGCGCTCGCGGGCAGCCAGTAGATCCGCGGTATCCAGCAGCAGGGCGAGGCTGTAGGGCAGTTGCAGTACCACGAAGGCTGCCACCAGGGCCACCACGACGCGCAGCGCACGCCGGCGCTCGGGCCCCCTGGCGGCCAACAGCGTGCGGCCCAAGAGCGCGTAGCAGGCTGCCATGACGCCCAACGGCAGCGCGAAGCCCAGGACCACTTGTGCCACAGCGCTCGTCCCCTTCACAGTCTGCGTGAGGCCCTCGGGGAAGACGAGGCGACAGCGTCTCTGGCCATCCCTCTGCCCGTCCCGACTGAAGAGGAGCGCGGGCAGCGCCAGGAGCAGCGACAACAGCCACACGATCACCGAGACCAAGTGTGCACGCCCGGGCGTGGAGGGCCTTGGGCCTGCTGGGAGCGCTCGGACGATAGCCACGTAGCGGTCGGCGCTGATACAGGCCAGAAAGAGGAAGCCGGCGTGGAAGGAGGCTGAGTAGAGGCTGGAGATGGCCCGGCAGGTGGCACTTCCCAGACTCCAGCCTTGAAGAGCCCCTGCTGCTGCAAAGGGCAGGGTCAGTGCTAGTAGGAGGTCAGCCAGGGCCAGCTGGAGCAGGTGGGCAGAGGTGGGCGAACGTGCACGTCGAGCTGCCAGGTGGGTGGCCAGGACTAGGCCATTGCCGGCCAGACCCAGTACAGCCACGATCAGGGAGACACTAGGTTGGAAGGCCCGGCTGAAGGCCTGGACATCAGCCTTGTAGCAGAGCTCAGGCAGTGGCTCAGCTGAGTATGCCTCCTCATCATCCCCAGAGTAGGAACCCCAAAAAACCTGGGAAGATCAAAATAAGAGAGACCTTATGAGATCTTCCCACACACCTCTCCTTCCCACACATGCCTTCCAGGCTGGGAGCTCCTGTGTGAGCAGGTATAACAGTACCAGGGGAGAAGACAAACTCTTCTACAGACTCAGCAGGACTTGGCTTCCCTTGCATCCCTCCTGCCCAGATTCCTGGGTCACCTTGAGCACCTTGAGATTGGACGTCCTCACCAGTCCACCTGGCAAGGCTTTCTTGAGGATTGTTTGAAATGTGGAAGATAATGGATGAGGCGCAGGTGTTCTCCAAAGGCCAAGAGTTTATATTATTAATAAATCTTAGAGCTTCCCTTCCCTTTGTAGCGCCCTCTCCTGGACAGACGCCCATATGTAGGCTTTGCCTCGGACCTGGGTACTGGGTTCCAAGAATGGTCAGGAGAGGGCTTGTCTCCTTTCCCTTCCCTCCCCACCATACCTCTACCTCCAGGAAAGATGGACTGAACCACTCATGCCAAGGAGGTCTCAAGGGTTGGAGCTCAGGTTTTCTGAGCTGAGTCGGACCTTAGACTTCTAGGTTCAACTAGCCCTTCCTCTAAGCCCAAGATAGCTCCAGAAATACTGCATGGGTCATAGGATGGTAGAGGCCTGTTACCATCCCATCATTTCCCCTTCCCTTCCGTCTCTGTAACCCTCCTCTCCCTCCCTGCCCCCACTCCCACCTGCTCTGTGGGCTCGGTCCCCATCTCTGGCAACACAGGTTTCCGAGGTATAGCAGCAGGGGGTAGAAGTTAAACAGCTAGTGGGACAGGAAGGAAGGGGCGGGGAGAGGGGCCAAAAGAAGTGGAGATTAGGGTCTGTGCGGCACACTTTCCCAGTCCACCTCCCCCCAAAGAATATCTCTTTACCCTACCAGTGGAAAAAGAATAGATTTTGGAATATTTTTATTTGCTCTGTGATCTTGAGGTGTGTTTTTTTTTTTCCTCTCTGACCATCAGGTTTTTCACCTGCAAAGTGAATTATGGAAAAAATGCTGAATTCACAGTATTAACAGAGTGTCCAGCACACCTGGAACATAATTTGGCTTCAGAAAATGTTAGGTTCTTCTACTTACATTCCCTCTCGAGGTTCCCCACTCCCCTCCATTTTCTTGGTTTTTTCAGGACCTTTCTCCCCTTACTTCCCTTTTCTCACCCTGTGGCCCGAGACCCTGCCCGCCTTGGGTTACTTGAGTATTTCTTGGTGGCTAGAGGCTCTCTGCCCCCGCCCTTTCGCAGTAGGGCTGAAGCGCGCGCTTGCGCGGGGTCCCGGAAACTCGCGCGTGCAAGGAGAGGCTGGAGAAGGGGGGAGGTGAGAGGAGAGAGGGTGGAAAGGAAAGGAGAGGAGAGAGAGAAGAGCGGAGCACCAGGAACGACAGAAAGGAGAGAGAGAGGAGAGAGAGAGAGAGAGAAGGGAAGGGTTGGGGGAGAAAGGAAGGGAGGGGTGGGTAAGGAGGAGACTCAGAGGTCTGCTGAAAAACCCAGGAGGAGGACTGGGAGCCCGACCAGAACTGGAGCCCTAGCCGGAGCCCGGCACAGGGAGGCGGCCGCCGGGACCGTCCGCCCTGCATGATGCCTCTCCAGCTCTTTTGCATTCTGCTCGCCGCGGTTTCAGGAGCCTGGGGCTGGGGCTACTGTGAGTGCTGGGATCTGGGGCAAGTGGGGTCGGACCCAGGCGTCCAGAGCCTGCTGGGTGGGCGCTCTCCGCATTGCGGCTTGGGTGGTCGCGGGTCCTTCCCGGCTGGCGCGTGCCCGCTCGCTCCCATCTTTTCCTGCCTCTCCCCCGCGCTCCGCAATGCAGCTTAGAGGCTGCCGCGCGTGCCCGCAGCTGGGGTTGGGCTCAGAAAGAGGCAAGGATGGAGTCAGGCAGGTACGATTTGGGACTAGAATCCAAGCAGGAGTTGGCACCTGGGTTTGAGGCTAGGGGTGGGGATGAGTGTAGTATGGTGGCCAAGACCAGGGTTAAGGTTTTGCAGGGCTTAGGGCTGGACTTTGGAGCTGGCCAAGGGCAAGGGTTTGTAGCTGTGGCTAGGATCCAAGCAGAAGTTGTTGACCCTGACTGATGCTAAAGCTGTCATGGAACTGCTGACAGTGACTGGCTGGGTTTGGGAGCAAGAAGGCTTATATTTGGGGGTAGTGCAAGTTAACGTGGCTGATGATTGAGAATGATGGTAAGGTTGGAGCTGGATTAATGTCGGGCTGACTCAAGTCCTGGTGCTGAGATTTGGAATTGTGTTTGGGGGGAGTACTAAACCAGGACAGAGAGTGGGACTGGGAGGGTGTGGCCTTGGTCCTGAGGTGTAGCCTAGGGGTTACCCTAGAAGGAGAAGGCAGCTATTGCTATAGCTAGGAGAATATATATGTGTGTGTGTGTTTAAACATATATATATATATATATATGTGTGTGTGTGT